GACCGCCACGACTTTTCAAATACGAATAAGGTAAATACAAATATGGTTATATTCACTTAAAGTGTAATCAGCTTAGGCTGAGATGCTATCAACCTAAAGTGAGCAGACAGTATGTAACCACATGATTAGGTTTTATAAATCCAGGAGAAATGCCATGTAACCTCAGTCTCACAGCCAGCAGAACTGCTGTTCACAGTGCAAGGCCAAGCAGAACATCTCACACTCGCCTAAGAAAGTACTACTGTGGGGGAAAACAACATAAAAATCTAGTATGAACAAGTATGTGTAGTCGGTGACTTGGCTCTAAAGCTTCTGAGGCACAGACCTCATCAGCTCAAAAGAAACAAAATCATCTAGGCTGAAGGGAGCTTGCCCATTAAAGACAAGAAGAATGGCATTGTGGGAAGAAGAGGAACTGATAGCTGTGTGGACAGGAAAACTGACTGCTGGCCATCATCACCAGTACTATTCCAGACATTTCTCAAATCTCTTTTCTGTGAAGTTCTCAAGCCTTTCTGCAGTTCCGGGCCTAACTAAAGGAACACTTGCGAGAGCAATGGTCATGAAGGAGTAGACATATACTAATAACTACCACCTACACAGACAGAGAAATGAGGCAGCTATACAGGAGGGAGATAAGACAGCAGCTATTCCCAATGCCAACCTGGTTAATAGCATGGAACTGGTTAGCATACAGAGAGTGAAAGGTAGCCAAGATGAATGAAACCGATCATGAAACAGCAGTGTTCACTAAAACATACGTATTTCAAAACCCTCCACCAGAATTATCCAGGACACAGCAGATGTCCTAAAGGAGAGAAAATCCTGTCTAAACAGTCATGTTGTTTGCAAAACTATTTACACCACTCAACCTGTGCAATTTATGTTTCACATGCCTGAAACTATAAATCAGTCACAAATTCCATTAAGCTTATATTCAACTGTTCAGCCAAAAGAGGTGATTAAGCTACCATTGTCAGTTAACTGTTAGAAACATGAAAAGAAGGATTTTAAGAATGCGTTCACTCTTCCTTTATGAATGCTCCCTATGGTCATCACTTACTCTAATTCATACAAGCGGCAGAAATTTGCCTCTCTATTTTAAGACACAGAGAACATTTACTGAACCCAAAAAAATCCCAACATTTAACACCCTATCCCATGGAGCTGAGTAGGTTCAGATTTGAAACCCACATTTGACAAACTCTAAAGATTAAATTGTACCTTAAACACACAATTTTTATCTCTGAATATTTAAAGCTATTTCACTGAAATCTCTTTAACTGGAGATAGATCTATATTGAAGCACCCCAAATTTACCACAAAAACAATCATTGCAAAAGTCACTTGATGCTGCCAGTCAATACTCTTTAAGAAACCTTTCAAAGAGTATGAACATTAACTTAACTTACTAGAGAGTGAGAGAGGGAAGAATTGTGAGAGGAATCTTCTACAGTAAACCAGCTGCTAAGCAACCACATCCCTAACTGCACTGACAAATCCCAAAGTTCAGAACTGCTAAATTTCAGGTTTGGCTGCGATTCGACTTCCAAAAGGAAAAAGTATATGAGAGTAGAGACATAGAACACCTGTTACTGGAACTTTTAATATCACTGAGTTCTCTCGCTTATTCATACAGCACTACCTATAACATTTGTGATAAGAAAACATCCAAATAATGAGAACAGTATTATCCGTTTCCTCTTCCTCCTTTGTTTTAACAAAGGAGTCAACTGATATAAATGTAAGGATATAAACAAAGACATAGTTCTGTCTTAAAACACTGCGTATTTTTTTAGGTCCCTCTGCTTAGGAATATTTCCAGAAAGGAGAATAATTTTTAAAGTCTTGCTCATTTTCAAGATTTTCTTTCACTTTCAGACTATTTTTTTAATATTTGCATTTCTGTTACTATAAACTTGAATGCAGCTTTAGACATGCTCAACATAGTGCAGATAAATTGGCAGATCCCTGTCTTAATAGATGTATGCTCAAAATAAAGCTGAATAATGTGGTAAAGGCATTATAAAAAGACAAAATATGTTGATCACACACTCTATCTGACCCTTATCTAAAAAGGGACTGATCTTTCAGGAATAGCTGTGGGGTATTTAATGTAGGCAACACAGCCATAAATAAAAGTTTAAATCAAGTTAATATCAATACTGCAAAGTGTTTTGTATGTATGTTTTAAAAACAGTAAAAGGTTGGTGTGAACGACAGCCAAATTAGTGAAAATTGATATAATAATTTCTGTAAAGCAAACTTCTACAGACAGAATTACTGTAGTTCCATGGAGAAGACAACTGAGTTTCTACATCTGTCTTTTCATACAATTTTTTTCTAATCACTTGAAATTCTGGAAATATAGAATAAACAGTACAGTTCTGAGAATATATGCACAAGATTCATCCTAGTTAAAAAAATACATTCAAATAAAGAACTCAGCTGAATCTCTAGGTTAATGATATTCATCCATACACTTAGGTTAATCTCCAGATTATATACAGAACTTGAGAAGTTTCTTACTTCCTCCCACAACTGAAGGGTAACAACCTCTGAAGAACATCTAAAAACCCAACAAAATTACTATTCATCTCTAACTTAAGAGTAATGAAACTAGCTGTTTAAAAATAAGGTAAGGTTTTTCTAAAACTTACTATAACATAAAAAAAACCCAGTATGGGATTATATTATATTATTTAGTGAGCTGGATGTTGGATATGAACTGGAATATTTTCAAGAAAAACAAAATTAAGGGAGCTACTGTAAATTTTATGTATTCACTAACAATTACGTAAGTGGACACAAAACTTACACAAGTTAGTAAGAGGAGTTTTGAGACTTATTCTGTAATTGCTGGGTCTACAGTCTAGTTCATTCCAGCTTCTACTTCTCTCATACAGGAGCCAGAAAGAACTGTCTTTTTTTTATATAGTCTTTTCTAAGAGTTCAACATCGTGTCCTGAAGCAGTCATACAAAACACACTGAGGCACTCTGCTGGTAACCAATATATCTGCAGTCTGAAGTAATAAATTTACAAATACCCTAATAACCACAAATTAGAACACATTGCCAAAACCTACCTCTAAGTTGTTGATCTGTGTTTTTTTTAAACGTAGAACAAATTTGAATGCCATGAGTAAATAACAAGAAACAGACTTTTCAAATTATTTCTTTTACAATACCAATTCCAAGAGACTTCATTTGAGTTACTTTTTAGTTCAGGATCCTATTGCAGCCTTAATTACCCAGAATCAAAAGAAACTGTCAAGTGCATACAAAGACTATGCCTAAGAGTTATAGCAGATTAATGTAAAAATAAAAATATGTATTTTAACTATTTTAAAAGCAGTCATTTAAAAACATTTTAAATTCATTATTTTTGTTCGATTTCACAAGTCTACTTGCAAAGTCTGTTTTTTAAATCTTCTTTATGCATCATGAAAACCCTTACTTTCAACATACCAATCAGAAAATGCAACCTTCATTTTTAAATTTTATGCAAATGCCACAGTTGTCAGATGAAATATACTCCACAATTGGTAAATAGCTCTAACACAGAGTTTCTGAATGCCTGTTTTCTCAAGAGGTGGTGCAAATGTTATGTGGAAGCACAGTATATAGAGAGTTTAAGAATATATAACACCCTTCAGGTGCTGCTCTGTGTCCCTCAGCCTCAAACACTGCCATTCACCATGCATGAAGGAGCACGACACACGTGGTTACTTTCAGCAGCTTCCAAACCCATAGGTGGTTAAGTTGAGAACCCCTACACCCTTTCTTGCAATCATCTTTAAAAACAAACGCTTGTTCTGGCAACCAGGTTTGGAGTACACGGAAGATACCCACACAGAAATACTGACCAGGTGAGTGGAAAAGTCTCTGTTTAAGAGCTAATACTGCACTTAGCAACTTTGTTTTAGTGTTCCCTGCGATGTCCAGAGGCGAAAGTCAGCAAAACTGAAGTTGTTCAAGCTGCACGCCTACCCTACCCAAGACAATACTCGTTTCATTCTCCTACATCTATACACTAAGGACTGACCGTCCAAAGGGTCCCATTTTGGTGTTCAGTGTTAGCTGTCTTTCTCTATACTTGTCAGTTATTTTACAGACATTTTACAGTTTGATTCTGACCACAAAGATTGAGACTGAAGCCACAAAATAACAGTGTCTTTCTCACTTGTCAAACAACATCCATCAATATTCAAATACACTTAACATAAAACTTGTGACTTCCAGTTTAAATACTCTATCTTCTCGGCAAATTTAGTTCCAAGTCTCTACACAGGAATTATTTAACTCTGAAGATATACTGGGTAAAGTTAAATATTGTCCATGAATTTCCGTAAAAACATAGTTAGCTGACAATTTAAAATGAAATATCATAAAAAGTAATCTTAAATTACAAAACTAAAATCAGACATGCAAAATACATTCATTACCTAGAGCTGAAATAATTAAAAAATTGCTGAGAGATCTAGAGGAAATTAGAGGTCAATATTAGAACACAAAATCCAAATAAGCCTCTGAAAAAAACCCTGACAAAGACAGATCTCAGTACTTACCCATCATTGGAACATGTCAAAAATTCTTCTTTTATTTTTGGATGCCAACAGCCTGAATTGAGCATTGCTGTGTGACCCTAAGAAAATAAACACAAAGAGGTTTTACAAGCTTTTATGAATTTTATTTAATAGTCTTCAAGTGTAATCACAGGAAAAGTGGGGGAAAAATCAGACCCTTCTGACCACAGCAATGGCTGACCAACATCACAATGTTCTAACAGATTTTATGTATTCTACTTAATTTCATCTTTTCTTCTTTTCATTTATGAATTATAAAACCCCTGCCATTCTTCTGGGGTTTTTTGTTTCTTTGTTTTTGTTTGGTTGTTTTGGTGGTCGGTTTGTTTTTTTCCCCAGAAAATGGCATGGAATCATACCTCCCCTTTTTCTCTTGGGAGAACTGTTGTAATGTAGAGAAAGGACGACACAATAGGCATTAATATGGTGTTACACAAATTGTTCCAAGCTACACAAAAATAAACAGGAATGACAAGAACTACCAGGGTGATACAGTACACCTACTGCACGCCAAACTACACTGGACAAATACTTTGTTGGGGGAAACTGAGGAAACAGAATTCTAAAGTCAAGATGGACTTAACATCAGGTGAGTTTTTCAGGAAAGATTAGAAGGTGCAAATTCAGTAGTCATCCCAGTCTCTTTAGGATGGAACAATCCAGAAGGTAAAGATTTTATCCAGAGTAAGCGATTGGCATTATGGTGACTATGAATATAAAAATATCTTTGCCCAGTTGTCTCTGAAGTACAGGAACATGCTCATTGACCTCATTCAAAGAGAAATTTGTAAACTACTCTTGTAATGCTGGAATTATTTCAGTCGCTTTAAGCACAAATAGAGAGAGGAATACTGAAAAGTTAATGGGGCGATATAACAAATATTTTAGCATTTTGACTGCTGGACCACAATACACCAGAATTCCAGAAGTTTACAAGAGAAAGAAAATCTGAATTATTTTAAAGTACCCAAGAATTAAAGCAGATGTTAGTATTTGATGGTTTTATACACACATCACTAGCCAAAACAAATAGTCATCTGACAAGGACAGCTTTAGGCAAAACAGCATTTAGCCTAGTAATTTGGCAGTATGCTTTAGAAACAATAAATAAATCAACTTTACCATCAGTTTGAGCAGTAGTTTTTATCATTACTTTTTAGACTTAAGCTACTTAAAAAACTGACCCTAAATTAAATCATCTGCGTAAACAGAATCCTTGCCTCATGCAGTTTATGGAAATATGAAGGCAAACTGGTCAAGACCCAATCAACTGTTGTTAAAATATTTCAAAGCTCTGACACAGTCCTTCCACATTTGCAATTTTAACTACCATTTAAAACGTATATATTGTAGCTTATTAGTCTTGCACTCATGACATGCAAGTACAATAATAACAACCTCCACTCCTGCATTGAAAGAGGTAAATTCTATCAGCAAAAGAACAGAGGTAAAAGAAAGCAAGGGGCTAGAACACATCCATAGATTCTAACATAGGTTTTGGTTGCTTGGACAAGGATATAGGGGAATATGAGAATCTCTTAAAAGATATGCTTTTAAATAGATGTGAAGAGACCTCTTGAGCTCATCTAGGTCAACCTCACGCTCAATGTCATATTATAGCCAACATCAGATCAGGTCAGCCACATCTTTGTCTAGCTGGGTCCTGAAAATGTTCATGGACAGAGGTCACACAGCTTCCAGCATGTATCAATACATGGGACTATTGCACCACAGAGACAGGACTTTGCATTCTTCCTTACTGAACTTCAAGAGGTTCCTCATTAAAAGCAAAAATACAGTACATTTTCTATCTTTTGGCATTAAATTAATTTTTTGCTTTACCTTTGTGTTTGTCATATCCACAATGTATTGGTCTCCTTTTATGCATTCCATTACCGGGAAGCCATCTCTATCAAGCACTTTTGCCTGAGAGTTACCAGAGACGACGAGAATGACATCTCCTGTGCTGCTGTACTGTAAAGATTTGATTTGGTGACTAAAAAAGAAAAAAAAAAAAGTTTCAATTAACTTCAGTTCCTGTAATCCTGCACTGAAACAAAAGTGCCAATGGTGAGAACATGTGTTGCAGAAATAGACCTATATATATTCTTATACCAAAAAGGGGAGGGAAAAAAAAAATCCGACTGAGATTCATCAATTGCAGCTTTTCATTCCTCTCTGTATGTGCACGTCAACTTTCCTTTTTCAGCTACACAGCACATCAAACAGCATTATTTACAAAGTTGGCACCTAAATTGTAATTTATTATACTTTAAGAATGCTCTCATAATTCCAAATGAAAAATAATGTGAGATTCAGCTCTTCAGGGGTCAAGGTTGTCATCTTCTCAAAAGCAACATATGGATTTACAGTAATCTATGAATTACTATGTAATTATGTTGATGTCCTACATAAAACACCACTGTACATAGTAAACCAGAAAATCAGTTGTATGTCAGCATTTTTGCAGCTTTCTCTATGTTCAGGGCTACAGTTTCATCAGAATCCTGGATAAAGTTGAATATACCATGAACCCTGGAAACATGACAGAAGATAACATCATGGAATCATAAAAATGTTCTGGTTGGAAAAGACTTTTAAGACCATAAGGTCCAACCATCAGCCTAGTATTGGCAATTCTACCCTAAACCATGTCCCTAAGCATTACATCAACTTGATTCTTAAATACTTCCAAGGATGGCGACTCCAACACTGCCATGGGCAGCCCGTTTCAATGCTTGACAACCCCTTCCATGAAGAAATTGTTCCTACTACCCAATCTGAACATCCCCTGGCACAACTTGAGGCCATTTCCTCTCGTCCTGTTGCTTGTCACTTGGAGAACAACCCCCACCTCTCTACAACCTCATTTCAGGCAGCTGTAGAGAGCGATCTGGTCCCCCTGAGCCTCCTCTTCTCCAGGCTGAACACCCCCAGCCACCTCAGCCCCTCCTCACAGGACTTGTGCTCCAGACCCTTCCCCAGCTCCACTGATATTCTCCAGACCCACTCCAGTCCCTCAGTGTCTTTCTTGGAGTGAGGGGCCCAAAACTGAACCCAGGATTTGAGGTGCGGCCTCAGCAGTGCCCAGTACAGGAGGACAATCCCTGCCCTGGTCCTGCTGGCCACACTGTTCCTGACACAGGCCAGGATGACACTGGCCTTCTGGGCCACCTGGGCACACTGCTGGCTCATAGTCAGCTGGCTGACCAACACCCCCAGGTCCTTTTCCACTGGGTAGCCGGGGTGATCTGCCCCGCCACTCTGCCCCAAGCCTATAGCACTGCAGGGGGTTGTTGTGACTCAAGTGCAGGACTGAGCACTCGTTGAACCTCACACAGTGGCCTCAGTCCATCGATCCAGCCTGTCCAGATCCCTCTGAAGACCCTTCCTACCCTCAGGCACATCAACACTCCTGCCCAATTTAGTGTCATCTACAAACTTACTGAGGGTGCACTTGATCCCCTCATTGAGGTCACTGATGAAGATGTTAAAAAGAGCTGGTCCCAACACTGAGCCCTGGAGAACACCACTTCTGACCATCCACCAACTGGGTTTAACACCATTCACCACAATTCTTTGGGCCTGGCCATCCAGCCAGATCTTAACCTAGCTGAACATACACCCATCCAAGCCACGAGCTGCCAGCTGCTCCAGGAAAATGCTGCGGGAAATGGCATCAAAGGTTTTACTAACGTCTAGGCAGACAACATCCACAACCTTCCCCTCAACTACAGAGTAGATCGCCTTGTCATGGAAGGGATCATGTTAGTCAAGCAGAAGTTGCCTTTCACAAACCCCCGCTGACTGGGCCTGGCCACCTGGTTGCCCTATAAATGCCGTAAGCATCTTATCTAAGCTTTCTGCTTTATGAAATTCACTGCAGCTACTGTATCTGAAGCAGATATCCCTTTGACCCCCTACCAGGCTATACTCCATTACAAGGATGACAAAGAATGCAAAGCATTCTACCCATTTCACACCTGCTAGAATTCAGATCCTGGCATATTAACAGAATGTGCACAGTAACATTACTTTAATGCTTCAGCTCTGCAAATAAATTAACCCCAAATCAAGCAGTGGAATGCAATTGCCAGCTAGATTTGGATTCCCACACCATCCAAACTGTCTGCAAAGGTATATCTGACTTTTGGGCAAGAACATGTGCATTTGAATACTAGTAACTAAGAAAACTACTTTTTAACACAATTTCACAACAGTAAAATTAGAACTCAAATGACCAACAAAATGACTATGAAACTTGTAACTTAAGAATTTAACATTTCACATCTCATAAGGTAGTGACTTCATGACTGACTCAGCAGTAGCTATTATCTGTTAAATCTATCCTCAAACTGTGACTTACTACACAAAACACAAAATGTCGTAATACATATTTTAAAAGTTCAGCACTGATCACAGTAATATAAACTAAACATAAGTTTCTCATTCAAAAAATGTTTGGCAAAACTGATTACATTGTGATTCAAAAGCCAAAAATTGCTTCAAGCACCCTATTATGTAATACAAACTGGCAGCCAAATTGGCCAAAGTACTATAAACTCTGCCTTTTAGTAGAAAGGAGACACTCAAATCTCGGAATTTCCGAAATAGATCACAGGCAGCGTCTGAAAAAGCATTCTGAGCCTCAAGAGCAAATTGGATACTTTCTCAGAAGAGAGGAAAGAAGGCCAGCCACATTAAGCTCAGAGGCACACTGAAAAAATGAAAAAGAAACCCACAAGAGAAACAGTATCAGAAGTCTAGAATATTCCCTGCAGACAGATGATACCTGAAGGGGGCCTACAAGGGTGCTGGGAGAGGACTTTTTACAAGAGCCTGTAGTGACAGGACAAGGGGTAACGGGTACAAATTGAAATCAGGGAGGTTTAGATTAGATATCAGGAAGAAATTCTTCACGGAGAGGGTGATGAGGCACTGGAAGAGGTTGCCCAGAGAAGCTGTGGATGCCCCATCCCTGGAAGTGTTCAAGGCCAGGCTGGGTGAGGCTTGGAGCAACCTGGTCTAGTGGAACGTGTCCCTGCCCATGGCAGGGGGGTTGGAACTGGATGGATCTTTAAGATCCCTTCCAACCCTAACCATTCTGTGATTCTATGATTCTCTGATAAACCTAGACTAAAGAATCCATCAGATTCAGCTTTAGATCAAGAAGTGCATCTTAGAAATTAAAAAGATCTTCCCCCGTTCTACTTCCGAGTGCTCTTGCACATGACGCGTACAAAGCTCAAAATATTCTTGAGCCTCACCTGAGTACTCTGTGCAGAATGAGCACAGTGGGAACATTGCTTATAATTCATCAAATCAGTCATGTGCAAAAACGAGCCTGAGAGAAAAGATTTCCACAACTTTCATCTGAAGGGGAAAAAAACCCCAAACACACACCTATGTGACTGTGCAATGCAACTTTGACAATCATGTCCAAAAACTGGTTCTGTAAGCAGGGTATTTGCCCAGGGCCAGAAGTTAGAGCTTTTCAGATGTTTTTTGGAGTATGACCAAGAGGGAGGCTCTGCAGAGGCACTTCAAGAGACCATTTTTGGTTCTTATTAATCTTAAAGCAATAGTCTTGGGAAACTTACAAACACAGGTCCCTTTAATAGCATTAATCCAAGCCATTTTGATTTAAAGCTGCCAAACGTGCATAGTACTTTCTGCCAGGACCTGCAGAACAAAGTTACGTCCATGGGTAGAATCATGACGCACAATAATTTCTGCACACGTAACTCAGCTTTGCTGTACCACTGTCTTCGCCTTTTACACTGACATATGGTTTTAAGGTACTGGTTTTTTGTCAGGCCTTTTTTTTTTTTTTTAACTCCCTCACATCCCAAATCCAAGGAGAAATTAACAGAGCAACCTGATATTACACTACAAAACAGAGCCTGGACAGCATAGAATTCTCCTCAGAGTTTTTTATTCTTAAAATGAAATAAAATTTATGGCTACAGAACTGGATTTCTGGTAAAACCTAAAGCTTCCATACAAGAACTCCTCAGAATTCTTCAAAATTAAGATCTGTGAATTCCAAGAGTCCTTGCAATAAATTACATAGTGTAAAAAAAAAAAAAAGAATATAAATACACATAGGCTATAAATGTTCCATATCGTGCCTCACCATCAGCATGAATTAACTTTTCCTTGAGTTTAGATCTTTTAACCAGGCAAACATACACTTCCAGTTTAATGTTTGCATGTATTTCATTTATACCTCAATGGATTCAAACCACAAAACTGTAACTTTCACCAAAAACATTCACATAAAAACACTTATAAGATACTTATAATACACTAAACAGTGTCAGGGATACCAAGCACTTTAAGCTCATATTTTACCATCATTTTTTTTCCAAAAGGAGACTACAAATGTATTTGCAAGCTGTTTTCCATGAAATGGGAAATTAACATACAGTGTACTTGTGTCTTTTCTACTGTATTTATGTCTTATACCATTATTACCACACACTACTAAATCTGAATGTACTCTTCTGCTCAATTTGGAAATGCTGCAGCTAAAATAATCTCCTGCTGTGGGAGTAAAGACTGTCAGCTCTTTCCTACTGCTCAGTTATGACAGCAGAAAGGAAAATACCATTTGTACCCAAGTAACTAATTGTACAAACGTAACTCGTGCCAGCAAAGTCTGAATGTGATTTCACATTTGGTGAATTCCATTTATTTATTTATCTCAAAGCAACACATTTACTTTGAAAACATAAGTTATTAAACGTGCCATTCATTGGTTTATTTTAACAAAGTAAGTTTGCAAAGAGGTTTGAATTGCATAACAAATCAAAGCACACTTTATTTTCCTGAATTTTCAGTTTAGAATGTCTGTAGAATCCCTTTCTAGTCTGCTCCCTTTCACGCTAACAAATACAACTTTTTCTTGTCTTTCATTATAGAATTAATGTCAAAACTCTAGACAATTACTCATCCACGTTCTAACCTTCCAAACCGGCAAAAATTCATCTGTAGCTTTTTAAGATAATAATGATTAAAAATAGATTCCACGAACTACTTACTGCACATAATAAATTTCAATCCCTTTATTAAAGATGCCGAAACGTCTTACAAAGTGCACCACATTAGTTAGACATTACAAAGGAACTTGCTAGAACAAATGTTTTGTTAATTTATGAACGTGTTTTTCTCAAAGTTCACTGTGCATGAGACACACACTCCTTTTGAAGGAGTTTCATGTACTGATTCTCTGCAATAAGTAAATTCATTCAGTTCCTTTAGTTGCTCAAGTATCAGGGAATAGTATGGAAATGGTGCTCAAAAATGCTTCCTATTTTTTTCATTTACATTATATGCATAAATGTAAATAAATATATAGCTTTTTCTTTACGTATTACTACAGACATACTTTTTTAATGCACAATATATTGCTATTCAATTATCATTGCAATGCGAAGGACCAGTGCTTCCAGAAAGAGAAGACTGAATGAAAATTAGACACACACACACACTCCCCCCAAAATACTGGCAGCAGCTACAGAGGCTTTCTTCTCTTGTTCATTAATTTTATACATAGGAAGAGTGTATTCTATTGATGTCAATTAAAACTACAAAAGTCAATCTGTCTCTTTGAGAGGTTCATAATCTATTTACTGATACACTCTGAACAATTTCATGTGCAATTAAACAACTTAATTCACCCGTAGCTTTCTAAAAGTAGAAAACATGCAAGTTGTTGGAAAAAGCATGAAAAGACATAAGCAGACAAGTTCTAAGGTTCACAATCCATTTACCATAAACAGTATTACAGGATACAAAGCATTTTAAACAAGCTAACTTGCAATGCTTTTGTGCATTCTATTTGGAGCTTAAAAAAAAGCACAGTCTTAAGTGAAAAAGACAGTCTTGATACCTACCATTCACAAGGCTGGAGTGACCGAAAAGCTTGAAGAGAGGCGTCCATTCCAGCAAAATCCCAAAATTTAATGTCATAATCATATCCACCAGTTATCAAACGAGCTCCTGAAGGATCCAACCCCAAAGCAGAAACCTGTAGAGGAAAAAAAAAAAAGTTAAGTTTATTCAAGGTTCTTTTTTTTTTTTTCCCCCCTGCAGTTTTTCAGTTCTAACCAAAACATAAAGAACTATTAAAGTAAAAGAAATAATGCAGTGTACTGGTTTCTTCCTGCAATACATCAGCTGTATTTTGGTTTTGAGTTTTCACTCCTTGTATAATGCCGAGTACTTTGGAAAGGGTAGGGAGAATGGAAATGAAAAATACATTATCTGAATAAACCGCTGAAGACAGCTGAGAAAAGCTAATTTGCAGTATTTGTTTTCTAAACAACTCATTGCAGAATTTGGATGTGTTTCATTCTACTCTAGACTTTTCTCAAATAATAACCACAAGTAATATGCCTAGCAAGACAGTGAAATGGCAATTAACATTTATAAGTTTTAAGTTTTTGAGCTAGTTTGTTCCAGATAGTTCATGTGCCTATATATGTTGTTTCGTTAAATTTCTCCTCCAAAAAAGGGTGCAAAAATAAATTTAATTAAAAACAATCACAAATTTAAAAATAAAAAATACAGTTTTAACTAATAAAAAAGTTCATAAAATAAATTACCAAATCTAGTTGCTCTATACATAAAACTAGCTGTTTAAAGCTACTCAGACCCTTAAGGAAAGAATGCTTAATGCTCATTACTCTCATTTGTTATCCTGAAATCAAACATTGAGTAAAACAGCATTGTTAGTAAAAATCCCATTTTAATTCTCTATTTGAAGATCTTATTGTAGTGTTCAAATCACCATATGGAGAAGTGACAGTAACCAAAAATATCTCATTGATTAAACAGCCTTGGATTTACCTTCAAAATTATTTCTTCCCTGTTCTCATGTACGAAAATATTATCTGCTACCATGACTTCAACAGTTAATAAAATATTATCTAGACAATGTAGTAAACTGATTTGTAAATCAAGTAAAGAGATTAACTCTCCAACATTAAGTTGTCTGCATGACAGAAGGGTGAAAAGTGATGCCAAAAACTTGAACTCGAGTATTTTTAGGCTTACTCAAAAGTAAACCCAACCTGAAATGTTAAAGTGACTAAAAATGCTTTCATAAGAAGATAAAACCCACGCAGAATTCATGCTTAGGTTTTGACACCTGGAACATAATTTAGCCTTTACTAGGCATTTCCACTTAAGCAGACCATGGGTAAAACCAGAGGATGAATTTTAACCATTGGACAAAAAAGAGTGTCATCCCACATACATAAGATAAGTAATAATCAGACACAGAAAGCCTTTCACAACGAGGACGACAGTCTCCAACACAAGAACTTTAAGTTGTAATACTAATAATAATAATATTAGTAAAAATAACATTTTTTAAACTTCTACAAAACACATTGAAAGGGATTTTGGTGAGCTGAGGTTGTGAAGGAGAAATAAAAAAAAACATATTTCACAGGAACATTCAGAAGTATAGAAAACTGTGTGCAAAAAGAACAACCAAATAAAAACTGTCTAAACAGTAAAAGAAAGAAAAGCCTTACTTTCTGAGTGAAAGGTAATACCTGAGAATAGTGTCATGGCTATAGCTAGTAATACTAACCTCTTAAGGGAAGAAAAAAAAAAAAAAAAACCTACACCACCAACAACCCAGGCCAATTACTTTCAGATGCCTAAACCTGTATTAAAAATTCCATATGCCTATGAATAATGATTATAACAACATGCATGGAAGGATGCTCATCTCTATATATCTACTATATATATTCTTTACGTGTATACATGCAAAATACTCACAGTCACTCTGATTTAATGGAGACGGATAGAAGTATCAACAAAAATCCTTGTCTCAAAGATGTATCAGTCTACTGTACTATTTTTGAAAGCTTTTGTATATACACCATGCCATGGAGATTTTTAAAAGTTACACGAACTGTTGAATAGTTCCAACATGAAACACACTTTAAAAAAGTTGAATTTATAGAATCATAGAGCGGTTTGGGTTGGAAGGGACCTTAAAGCCCATCTAGTACCAACCCCCCTGCCATGGGCAGGGACACCTTCCACTAGACCAGGTTGCTCAAAGCCTCATCCAGCCTGGCCTTGAACACTTCCAGGGACGGATTATCCACAGCTTCTCTGGGCAACCTGTTCCAGTGCCTCAATACCCTCTCTGGGAAGAACTTCTTCCTGATATTCAACCATGAGATATTCCCTTTTCCATACCCAGCTGAAAAAGTAACTACAGAAAAATGAATGTTTCAATATAAACAGCAGTTATTGATAGAATTTATTCTCTGAAATGCAAAATTTGATTTTTAAAATTAAGGTTTCCTTATAGGAAGAGTATGGGCTTCTTTGGAGCTTTCTTTTTCCTGTTTCGTTTTGGAAAGGTTCACTTAGATACTCCTTATTTTATCAGGGACTCATTTTCAGTCATCTTCTCCTTAAGGCTTATACTGCTCCTCATGCTGCTGGTACCTCACTGTATTTCAAACATACAGTGCCACCATATAGACTTCAGGTCAAAAAAAAGTCCCTTCGAGAAAACCAAGATGTTGCAGAAATGATGCTGCTGTCAGGCAAATGACTCTTCCCTAATCTGATTGTCCTGCTCTATTTTAGAGGCTTTCACTTGCAGAAATCTTATCTTTTGGAGAACGTTTAAAACCTCACTCTTCTAAAGAATATAAAAGATCATCAGATGTCCTAAATCCAGTGCCCCCAGAAAGATCTCATTTACAGAGTTACTCAGATTCAACATTTTTCTTTTTACTTCCCTGAATCAAATGTTTAAATATACTTCTTTGTGCTATTCCCAAGAATGAATTAATCTCCACTTAGTGATTATGTCACACTGACGTATTTGATTTTCAAATGAAACAGATGCCAACTCTTACGTGTTTAAAAAAAAAAAAACACCAAACAAAACCTACCTCCTCTTACCATTTAAATGCCTATTCAAACCCCACTCATTTCATTCATAATTTCTAAAATGCAGAAAAACTGGGCATCTCCAAACTAATCACACATTCAATTAATAGACTCAAGTGTTCTATTCTACAATAACCACTATAGGAAGCAACCGCTGTCGTATGGGATGTTAGAAAGCACATTGTTCAGATCGCCTCTGATGATGTATTCTTTCTCATATCCACCTATGCATCAGAAGTGTCAGGAGAAATATATATATATATGTGTATAAATATATATTTCAGAAGTTTCATTGGGAACAGTAACTCTTACTACCCTGTACAAGCAAGCCAACTGGGAAATTAATCAGGTTTCTGGGAAGACTCTCCAGCTTGGGAAATCTTTTCTGAGACTTCTCAGCTGCACGAGAATAAAGTCATCATCAAACCCAGGTTCACAGATTGAATAGGTACAGATGGATACCTAAGTTTAGCTGAAATACAGTACATTCAGTGAACGTAGTAAGGCTGTCTATTTAAACACTGGGGTGAAACACTGGTATCAAGATACAACATTGCTCTAATCCTTTTATGTGTCTAATGACATGCCTAAGTAGTTTCTTTATTCTAAAACAAACAAAACAAAAAGGTAAGTCATTCTACAGAAGACCTGTATAATTTTCAATTATATTCATCCAGTGCATCGTCTACTTCAACTGTGCTACATATACCCACATAATAAGTCAGCTGTGACCAAGGTGATGACAGCTGCAGTCTCATGCAGTCAAAATACCTCAGAAGTCTTCCAAAACGGTAACTTCCACCTTACAAAGCCTTTTAGTTAGAAATGGCATGAGTTTATGCTTTAAGAAGCCATCAAAAGATTCACTGGTTTAATATAGATAAAAATAATTCAAAAATTTCACATAATAAGGTTTCTTAGGAAACATATTCAAGAAATGTATTTGGTGGATGAAAAGCTGGACAAGAGCCAGTAATGTGCCTTCTCATCCCAGAAAGCCAATCATATCCTGGGCTATATCCAGAGCAGGTCAAGGGAGGTGATTCTGCCCCTCTCGTGAGACCCCACGTGCCGTTCTGCGTCCAGCTCCGGGGCCCCCAACATCAGAAGGACATGGACCTGCTGGAGCGAGTCCAGAGGAGGCCACGAAGATGCTCTGAGGGCTGGAGCACCTCTGCTGTGGCGACAGGCTGAGAGAGTTGGGCTTGTTCAGCCTGGAGAAGAGAAGGCTCCAGAGGGAGCCTAAAGTATGTGAAGGGCCCTAAAGAAAGCCGGAGGGGGACATTTCAAAAGGTGAAGGGGGACTTTTTCCTGTAGTGATAGGACAAAAAATGGAAATCTAATAAAGGCAAATTACACATTTCCTTAGATTGTTTAAGACCTAATAAAAAAAGCATTTTTCTCAAATACTTTTTTTATTTTTCTTTCCTTCCCTCCTCCCTGCCCCAACCCCGAGACATTCTCAGGAATACCATTAGTGAGAATTCTATTATTAACTAGCTGACAGGACTTCCACAGGTATATAACAATAAAAGAAATTCTAGTATCATTTCCTCATTCAAGCCTTACTCATGGTGCAAGCTGAAGAGGATACACAACAGCAGCATCTTTTTTTAATGACCTTTTAACGAACTTCGTAATTAACTTCTTTAAAAATACAGTGAAAGGATTTTGGAATAGATTCAGAGGCATTCATGGCTACAAAATAAGTTCCATTCTGTAAAACTAGATCTTCATTCAGTTAGCACATAAACCAGTTGAATTTGTGTTTGAAGATGCGATTATCCAGAGACAAAAATATTGATAACAAGAAATGGTACTTCCAATTTAGACAATGGTTCTTGAAAAAACAAATTGAAGGATCAATATTCAAAGAGAAACCTCAGTGTAGTCAAAGACAAAAACAAGGTTTCAAGAAATTGAGAATGGTGTAGAAAAGGCACTTACATTTTCAAGGACAATGAAAGAGACGTGTATTCAGCTAAAAAGAAGTCTTATAAACTTCAGCAGTAATATTCTCTTTGAAATCCATGACCAATCGAAGAAAGGTCTGGATTAGACATTTATCTACATTAGGAAGGTCTAGCCTGGAAGAGGTACTCTAATAATTGCAGATGAAGAAGAAAGTGAAACTATGAGTTAAATGGAACCACATTTGGATTATTACAAGAAAGTGAAGATGCAGTCCTAAAAAAACACTTTCAATTGTCATTAGAAAAGAGCGAGATTAAAATAACAACTTAGAATTAGTTTCTTGAACTTTAGGTGACAATAAGGATTTGTCAACTTATTTCACAGACTGGCTTAGCTGTATTTAAAAAAAAAAAAACAAACACAAAAAAAACCCACAATAAGTTTTGAAAATGTATATCACTTACTGTTTTTGTCCCATGTTGGAGTGTAATTTCGTGAGAATCTGGAATTTTCTTGACAGGGTTCTAGGGAAGAAAAGCAAAAATCCAACTCAGTGAAAATAGTGCTATGACAAAAAAACACCAATCAAACAAAAAAACCTAATACTGCCAGATTCATATAAAAGAAACATTTCCCTCACACCAGCCATAAACAACAGACTGATTCCAGATTTTAGGTTTCATAGATATACCCCTAAATATGAGGAATAAGTCATGAGACTACCTTAATAAGGAAAGAAAAAAAACAGGAAAACATTTCCTATGTTTCCCTCTTCAGAAAATGTTAAACTTCTCAATCACCAATATCTAACAATACTGAACTGTGATTTAGCCTACCTATCATTGTTACAGTGTCTTTTCAAATAAAAGGACGGAAGTAATAAAAAAAAAAACCACTATAAATTAATTACAGGAGCTAAGTTATCTATGTGGTTTAGTAAGATCATGAACTGGTTTCTCACTTCCACTTGTGACATTATCCCCAGCTCTCACGGGTCTTCACGACTGCCACTTTGATGGTAGCCATAACACAGTCAGTGTAATTCAGGAAATTTAATTTAATAGCCACATACAGATTGAAGGCAATTACAGTTTTAAATATCTAACATAACACACTAACATCTGTACCACAACATAAAAATAGTTTATTCACACAGAAAGATATGCACTGAAAATATTCGAGTGACAGCAATGTTCTACAAAGGTAATTTGAATCATTATGCTCAAAATTATCATTTGTCTGGTACCATTAATTTTCCTAAAACAGACATAATCTACCATTTTGATGCCTGACATCTCTGTTTAGAATTTTCTGTTGCCAAAGTTTTTATTATATGTTATATAACATTCCTTATTCATCTTTGCCAATTCTTTCCCTTTCTTTCATTCTTGCCACTGAGAGCCTCTATAGCATCAGGCTGATTTCCTATATACTCCTCTTATCCTGCAGTTCTATCAGTCTTATTTCTCTGATAAATAACTTCTGATTTTTTGCTACTTCTGTTTAGCTAAACCTATCCTTTCTCTAACTTTACTTCTTACTACTAACAGCAGCTCTGATCCAAAAATTACTGTGTAATTTCATTCCTTATTCACATGTACATATACAGAGACGCCAGCAGAAGATTCATTCCCTTTGTTTTCACATTCACAGCATATATCTTACTCACAGATGTTTGAACAGGAACTCAAGTATTAGCATAGAAATCATATATGCAGCCGAGCAAGAAAATATTAATGGGATTGTACTCCATGCTAAGTTCAAAAAGGTACCTACACATGACATTGTGAAAGGTTTAGCCCATGCAACATTAGGCACCACTTTCACAGACTCAGTGGTTTACAATTTAACAAGCAGGTGTAACTCAGAATTCCCAAGTGAAGCTGTGATTATGAAAATGAGTTTATTGTTCAGTTGACACTATAAAGCAGCCAGGCAAAGGTACAACTACAATACGAATTAAGTTTTCCATGCCTTATTGTTCCTTGCACTATAAATTTGTATTTGCTGTTCTCAGGATGCAAAAAACTGCTCAATAACCACTGCCTGTACTTGACATCTAAGCACAATCCATAAACATGGAAATGTGGGAAGGAAGCAAACAACTTCCAAGATCCATGCTGCCATCACCCAGAACAAAAGATGTAGTACTACCGTCAGTCAAAAGCTTTCACAGAAACCATCCATTGCTGGGTCCCCAGTTATAGAATCATAGAATGGTTTGGAATAGAAGGGACCTTAAAGATCAACTAGGACCACTCCCCCTGCCAGAGGCAGGGACACCTTCCACTAGACCAGGTTGCTCAAAGTCATTCTTACCTTAGCCACTACAAGGCTGCTTATTTTGTATTCCAATCTACTTAGCACAGTCATAGAATGGTTTGGGTTGGAAAGGACCATTTAAGGTTATGTACTCCAACCCCCCTGCAGTAACCACAGACACGTTCAACTAGATTAGGTTGCTCTGAGCCCTGTCCAGACTGACTTTGAAGGCTTCCAAGGATGGGCTTCTACCACCTCTCTAGGCAACCTGTGCCAATGTTTCACCACCCTCATTGTAAAAATATTTATTCCTAATATCTAGTCTAAATATCC